AATTGTTCGTGATCATCATATATACTACACTTGCATGCCTGGCTGTTAACAAGTGGTTCATTTCCCTGAATCTGTTCATTTGGAATATGTCTCAAAATAAAGAATCCATGTCCTGTACTGTAAGAAAGAAAAACAGCACACATTATTGCTTTGACCTCAGTCATTCAATTACCTCAAAAATCCTCTGCTTATTTTACATGCTTTCATATATTTACCAAAGGACTAACGTCTGTTCACTTGTTCCTCGAGATTAGTAAATACAGTGAAACTATGTCAACTATGATCAACAAATAATTTGCTAGTAAAAAATCCTATAATCTAAGTTCTCTCCAACATTACTGAGTGTTCTAAGTGAGCCAAGCTTATCGCATATCATTCACTTCCAAAGCGAACATACATTTTGTTAAGAGAACAGTCTCTATCCCTTTAGTAATCAACCCCAAAGTGAAGACAGCTTCACGTTTTCACTAAGCTAATTGATCATTCACTTTGCACAGTGAACATTTTCTATTAAATGACCCCCTCAGTTACCTGGGGTTGTTCATTATGATACTTAAAGCTTCACTGACTGAAGAGGCCTGGATGGGTATGACATACAGAAGATAGCACTTGCTTCCCAGCTGATAATACTAGCCTGCTTATTATCAGTATGCACTGAAAGCAATTTACCAGTACTGGATTCTCAGCAAATGTATATCGTTCACGGTTTCATGTAGATGGATTGTTTCTTTGCTTTTCATCACTTGCAATGAATTACCTTCCTAAATTCTAGACTTCTCTGCTTTGTCAAACATGCCTTGCAGATGTGTTTTCCTCCCATTGCAGTTTTACGAGAGAGGAAAGGCTCCCATGTGTGTATACTACAGATCGTTGTTAACAAACATGACAAAACAGCATCCCACAGTGAAACGATTATTAGAAGGCTGAAACAAACTCACATCCTCTAAAAGAGAATCAGAGTGCGCGAATTGTTGGAATAATATCTAAAGAGCCTATGATAAAAAAAAAGTAATGGCTGTCACATTAGTTGTGAGCAATTGTGATCTTGTAACCATAATAGGATAATATTGTGACTTTGTAGCTGTATTTTGTCACCACGTTTTTTTCTAGACCATTAACCAGCAATAATGATTTCTCTTTAGATAACAAGTATCAAAGCTTCACGATGACGTCATACACTGTGCACTCACCCTCATTGCACTGATTGCAGTCATATTCTCCAAAAGCCAGAGTAACCCCTTCATGCAATTTAATGTTTGTTCACCCTGTGCTTACACTAATCTATTTCCGGATTTAATAAATATAAACATTTATTTCAGTCTTACAGAAGGTGAATTTCCTTTGCTGAAACAATTCCCCATTCTTTTGAACAGTGGCTAGCATGGTTGGGGTAAACAGGACAACAGACCCATTGTGCCAGCATTAAAAAAAATGTTTGTACAGCTTTATAAAATGGGCAAAAATGCAGCAGGATGCAGAAATATCTTATAGGAGTGAATGAAGTTGGTCAGGTGTAGCTTTGCGAATTCAGTGTAGCCTAATACCAGCACAGTGTAACCTTTATAAACAGGCAAAAGCTGGAGAAGACAGAATCTGCCGAAACGTATATACTGGTTATTGTATGATTGAAACCTATAATTTATATAGGCAAAGAAGAAGAGAAGAGCCTGGTTCTCTATCATGGCATAAAGAAATGTTATACACTAAATGGCAATGCCATGTGTGTGTAAGAACAGGGTATACACTTTTGTCCTTCTATAACGTCTCTCTTCCCTTTACAAATAGCCTTCATACCATGTCATATGATAGTCGTGGTGTCTAGCCCCTCTGTAAACTAGAGCTATCACTAATCACTGCAAATGATAACACCGAACCTTGTACCCCTATCACTGGCACAATCCACGTCCAGCACGTTTATCCTTCATTCTTCACAATGGATGAGTAAAGGACTTGTTATGGCTCTGACTGCAAGAATAAAATCCTCCACTTCCACTGACTCAATCCGACACATCACCAATTACACATCGAGGATGTGGAAGATGACATTTATCAATTTAACAGCATCACCTGCTAAAACTGTAACTGTAAGGTCGCAGCTGCTGTAGTTTATGGAACATGGCTACTATTATTTTTCATTATTAGTATTATATAGCGCCTGCATCCTCCGGAGAGCTGTACTAACTAAGGGCACCTATGGGGGATAAAATAGTGCCAATTAAACATGCAGAAAAGAAGACACTGTAGTAACTTATTTACGTAAATACGTGCTGTGAGCATAACGTTGGAACGAATTGAAATGACATGTTTCCTTTTTCCCCCTTTGAAATAAGTTGTCCAATGCCTATAAATGCTCTTACTGAAAGGTCTTATAGGACAATATTTTTAATGGATCTAGTCTACAACATCTCTGCACTACCCAGTGCCAGCATTTATATGCCATGTTTACTTATAAATAATCCAAAGCAGCATAACTGGCAATGTCTAAATTTGTATGTTCGTAAAAAGTTAGTTACAGGTTTACAGAATCCAATAACTGAAAAAAGATAACGATAATAAAAAATATTGTTATTATTACTACTATTATTATGCAAAGTGATCTATTTAATATAATAGTGTGTGTGTGTGTGTGTGCATATATATATATATATATATAGTCCGCAATGACCAGGGGGTCCTGTGTACAGTTGCCACTGCTCTAGCAAAACCAGGAATTCAGGATACATGATAAATCTACTAATTAGCGGATGTGCATCTAATGTGCGGATGTGATCTCCCACGTATCTACATGGGTCTGCTGTAACTCAGCTAATGTTTAAGTAAATGGCAGCTGACAACTCCTTTATATTATATCCATAGCATGGATCTCCCAAACACAACATAAAGCAGATTGGAGATAGTTTCGATGACCAAAAATAAATATTACAGTGTAGATAAACTCATGGGCATCACTGATTTCTCAATGGTGACCGCATTGTTAGCTGAAAAAGAAGGTCTCTAAAAAAATAGTAATACTACTACTACTACTACTGCTACTACTGCTACTATAAATAATAATAATCATAATAATAATAATAATACTTAAAAACACCAAACACAACAATACTACATCTAAATAGTAATGATAATAATAATACACAAAAACAATAAACACAACAAAACTACAGCAAAATAATAATTGTACTTCTACTACTGCTGCTGCTACTACTACTACTACTACTACTACTACTACTATTGATAGAAATAATAGTAATAATACATGAAAACAACAAACACAACAATACTACATCAAAATAGTAATGCTAATAATAATAAATGAAAACAACAAACACAACAATACTACAGCAAAATAATAATTTAGTGTTATTTTTTATCCTTTTTTTTTCCTTTGTCCGACTGCAAATCAAGGGTTAAAGTTGAAAAAAAAAAAGCAACCCACATGTGTGCATACCCTGAGATCCCCAGGTTCCAGCCAACACAAGTGAGCTGTATGTGAGAGACTTAGAGGCTGAGGGTATGCTGGGAACAAAGTCCTATTTCCTTCTTCTCAGTCAGGAAAGCTGTGAAGTCCTCCATCCCGTTGCACCTCTAAACATTTTAACAACTCCCAGCATAAACCTTCTCAACCTATAAAAAGGAAGCCTTAACTTTTTATTAAGGTGCTAAATTCAACTTACTGTGGTAAAAACACCAATCTTCTTCGTCTTTTAGGAAGGGAAAAGCCTCAGCCAGTGTGATAAAATTATACTATAATTAGGTGAAAACCTGACTAATTGAGATGAAAATGCATGCATAAAGTTTAGAGCATAACTTGCGAGGGCCCCATATGTTTCATGATGTTAATGGAAAGTGTTTACATCTCCAGCTAGAGTTTGCCATTCTGTCCAAAAGTGCATTGATCGTGTCCCAAAATATTACCCAGAATCCCAAGACCCTTTTACAAGCTCTGTTCTGGCTGATCCATCTTTGGCTTATTTGCAGATAGTTAATGTGACCCCCGTCACCGGATGCAACACCCCAAGCCATAAGCCTTTTTATAAACCAAGAGAAAGCCATCTGTAAACATCCACTTTAATAATCATTTCCAATTGTGAACCATGTTATGGACTATCCACTGTTAAATAGATGTCTTGTGGTCTTATGGGTTGGATCAGTGATATTAGAAGTATTATAGACTAGTTGCAATGACTAGGATGCTGATTTACTAAAATGATTATAATGGTGTATAAAGATTCACTCCAATCATGTGAAAAGCAAATGCATGTGCATCTGGAAAGTGAATATTCACACAATGCACTGCGTGGCGATTTCCAACTCCTTTAGTAAATCAGCTTCAGTGTTAATGGATTGTGCACATTTCATCTGCAGACTTTGCCATGTTTGATCACCAAATTATCACCATAGTTCTGTTAATAGACCAAAGAGCCAAATTATTTTTCCATACACCTAATTAAGCCTGATTAGAATAGAA